CTCTAACAGACTGTTGGGGCCAAGTGCAGTGAGCGTGGAGCACATATGAAGGCCACGAGAGGGTGGGCGGGTGAGTGGTGAAATTTACACACCGCACCAGGTACTCATTTGAGGCTGAGTAGACCTAGGGGAGGTCCAGGACCGGTTAAAAAAATCGTCACTAGTGTTGGTGGCCGTGAGCGGGAATCGAACTCGCGATGGCCGGGTTCAGTAGTGCTATGCACTACCAACACACATGAACACACATGCACACGCAGGCTGAGGCAGGCTGACCCACAAGCCAACTCGCACACAGACGGCATGAAAAACAAACAAACGTGTGTGCCTCTGTGTGTGGGTGTTGGTTTAGGGATCTGGCTGTGGGGCCCAGTACAGTAGCAGGGATAAATGAGGAAAAGAGACCATGAATACGCCTCGTATTCTCGAAACAGCCCAGCCCGGCCTCACAGAGACAATGGGGCAAAAGGGCAGATTAAGTCACAATTATCACTGAGTATACAAACCAATCAACGAGGTAACAATGAACGCGGTTACAATTTATAACGATGGCGTATGACTAAAAATGTAAAGGGCAGAACTGACCCCCCCCCCCCCACTCCCTTTAGGCAGCCTGGCCCAGGGAAAAGCCAGTGGCCGATTTAGGCAAGGGACCTGCTCAGCCAATATGATTTAAATATATATAGTTTAATCTAGATTTGAAGTTTTCGTGACTACAGGGATCCATACTCTTTATTTATTTCGGCAAAGTCATGTAGGTATAAAATTAAATTACATCACGACGTTTCGGGCGCAACACAAGCATCCATCATCAGGTGGGACAACCACAGCAAGAAACAACTGCTGAAGTGGGCAAAAGGGCTGCTGTAACAAGAGGCTATATAGGTAAGAGAGCGGGGGGGGGAGGAGCCAGGCAGGAGAGATAGTATGTGAGGCAATATTTCCCGCATCTCTACGATCAGCTGTGTACGGTGCGAGAGAAGTTCAACGTACACACGTACAATGGTGGCGTGGTAAGGGCAAGTTGTTCGCTACGCACGCCTATAATACGGCAACTCTGGAGGCGAGGTTTGGGGTGGATCGCACAAAATCGTCCTTGCGAAACCCACTTGGTATGGGCGGCGGGGCACTCCAGGGAATCCTCTACTAACGGACGAGTTAAGTTCCAGAGGTCAGTTCGTAAGTCGATTTGTTCGTTAGTCCAAGTTTACTTCTGTTGATTCCAAAACACGTTGTACGGCATCTACAGCAAACACGGAGAAATGGCTTTAAAAGTTATATAATCTCTTGCAGACGTGGATGCCACTGGTTGTTCACCTTCTGCAGCATGCAAGACGCCCCCGCCGCTATATATTGCGCGGCGGTTGAACGTACGACTCCCGGTTCGAACGGGTTTGTTCGTATCTCTGAAAGTTTTGTAAGTCGAAAGTCCATAAGTAACGGAGTCTCTCTCTCTATATACAAGCAAAAGTGTGGACTAATATCCATCTGACCCTTCTGGATGTGGGATACAGTTTTGTCCCCTCTCACACGTGTAGGAATACTCCAAGTGATCCGATCTCTCTCTCGCATGCATGAGCACTCATCGTTAGGCTGAAGACATCTTCACATAAAGACATTTAATATGGGAACCCTGTGGAAAAAAAAGAGTCCTGGGACTGAGTTTTGGTTTTCCTTGTGAAATAAGTGGTTTATCGGAAATTCATGTCTAGTTTATGAATTCATTTAAAAAACCGAGTTCATTCCCAGCCATAGTTGACAGCAGCGAGCCAGCGCTGACGCACGTAGTAAAGTATAGCCAAACAACCCCCGATAGCTTCATCCATCAGTGAATTGGCGAAAGGGCTATACATTAGCAAAGGCGATTTACATTTATTGCTGCGTTCAACTCATGAATCGTGGATAAATTATATTCTGAATTGCTTTGTATTTAGTGTTTGTCAAATGTTAAGTGTAATGGACTTACTATAAAAAAATGGATACCATACAGTGATTACTAACATTAAAACGGAGTATCAAGTGCATATGCCTGTTGCACAATTAGCCCACGCTCATGGCTATGTGACCTATTTTTTTCAGCTTTAGGTGCTTAAATAGATATGGCAGGGGCCACTGGCAGGGAATTTCGCTGTCTATTGTGACTCAAAACACCCCCCCCCCCCCCGTGATTGACACAGCGTGGGGAGGCCTTCATCCAGCAAGTTGATTTACAAAGGGCTGTCAATTATTAGTATTATTATTTATCACTCTAACTACATCAACTGTAGGTACCTTAACAGGGTAGCCTCACATGGATTTTTTTAAGTATCGTCACTGGACTGCCTCAACGTTGAGCGACGTAGTCAACCGGCTGGCCCTCATACTAGCTATCCCACCGCCACATAAGCACCAACATCTTTTCATGTTTCCCCATCATTCCACCCCCCCCCCCAAATCTCCCCCCCCCCCGCCCGCTGCCCCCATTCTACCGCAACAGAAAATACCCTTCGCCCTCCTCTCCCAACAAAACGAAACCGGCTAATGGTTGCGTGGGGCGGGGAACTGCCTGGCTAGCATCAGCCTTCAAAGATCACGCAGGAGAAGAAAAGGCACCACAGCCTCCTAAGGGGATATTTCAACGCCACCCCCTCCTCCTTCCCCACCGACCCAAGGCCCAGGGGAGACCGTTGGTGCAACTACCAGCCTGCGTGCATAATGGCAAATCCTCAACTTCTAAAACTCACTCACCGCCTTCCAAAAGGCACGTCGTCGCGCGAGCCTCCACCAAAACCTCAATTCTCAGAAACGCCGTGGCGACCTCCCCTGACAAAACACCTGGGCAATTAGCAGCTGCCCCCATTATTATTCGTTTAAAGAAAAAAAACCCCACAATCGTCGAAAGTCTCCGAGCTATATGTACATTTATCGTATATGGCAGTTAGTGCGTGATACGGATTGCATTATCAGCCTGAGCAGTGGTGTCACAGTGACAGTAATAATTGTGCCGGTTAGAGAGGAGCCAGAGTGTCATCAGTGTGTCAAGTGTCTCGAGGTGAGGCCCTCTGGCCTTCGAATGCACTGCAACTTCCCACATCAGAACAGTGGGGGGCCTTCTTGTTTTGTGAACAAAGTTAGAAGAGATCACAGTTTCTTAAAATCGGCACTTAATACTTATCGAGCTGTGTACATACCTAATATGAGCATTGTGCCTTTTCTTAACGTACATTTTCAGCATTCAAGTTCCTCTTTTCCCAGCCAAAAACATCTTCATTAGACGCCTCGCCCGACGTTGGTGGCTGACATCTGAACCGTTACTAGGGGCCCCCTCCTACACCAACCTATACCTACACCAGCCTCTGTACTGACCAGGTTGGTGAAGTATGGTCAAACAACCCACACGATTCATTCAGAAGTGGGCTCTAAATTATATTATTAATTCTGGTTAGCCAAGCACGTTATTATTTCGAAGAAAGCGAGACGTTTTAAAAACCCGAACCCCAGGCTTTATTACATTATGCTCAGTTGTCTGGAGTTTTTACAAATCCAGACCAATTAATCTGCGCCTTCATAATCCGGATTTGTATGCATGCAATGCACATACGCCTATGACCAAATAGCCAGGAATGCACCCAATCCCATCCAGTCTCGAAAGCTAAGCAAGAGTTGAACCTGGATAGATCTTGGATGGGCGACCACCGCCCGCAACACAGGTGGTCACACAGAGTTGCGGGGCTACGTGCTACGACAGTAGAGCGAGGCATCATCCATTGCTGTTCTGTGCAGTAGCTCCTCGTTTAACGCGGCAAGATGCGTTCCTGTAAAGTGGCGCGGTTCAAGCGAAAACATCTCCTGAAGCGCGGAATTACTGAACCGAGTCGCGTTGGCGCTGTAAAAATCAGCCTGCGGTCATCCCATGGTGGGACAAAGAACTGAGATGAGGGTACAACCACATACTGCATTTATTCCACGCAACTGTATCATACCGCTTAGCCACGCAGCTCAAGAAAGTGTTTCGTTTTTGACCGCTCAGAAGCAGCGTTATAACGGTGCGCGTTCTGCATTGTGCGAAAAGTGTTCCTCAATAGAAGAACCGCGTAACAGTCAAAACGCGTTGTGTGAACACCGCGCGTTAAACGGAGACTTGCCGTAACCTCCACGCTTTCACTGCTACGTGTTCACACTCTGCGCCAACCCCCACTGACCCCAGCATGGCGAGGTATGGTCAAATAGCCTCCACGACGCACACGGCACCACGGACAGAGGCCCTCGTCCAGCAGCGCATCGGCCAAAAGGTCTGTGTACGTGCACGTAGAGGCTTTCAAGGGTATTTTGTTCAACCAGACGGGAACTCAAGAGAGTAGGATGAGTCTCATTTACAAGAGTGACCTACTGGCATTAGGCTGCCAATGGTGGGGTGGGGGGGGCGATGAACAGCAATGTAGTATCCCAATTGAGTAGCTTGCGGTGTACTTTTCAAATGTGGACCGTGATACGGCACACGATGGCCCACTCTTGCGAATAGCGTCACGGAATCTCGAACGTCCACCGTTAAGCAGATGGCGCGTAGCGTTAATATTATTTCACCAGCAGTATTAACCCTTTCCTATTTCGATGAGATACGTGTAACTTTATCGGTACCGAGGCTATCACAAGGCCATGCGGGGAGGGGGGTGTGTGGCACATGTTTGGCGTCGGTTATAGTAGAGTGGCGGTCGTGTCGTTACGGTTCTCTTCGGTGAGTACGATGTGCTTAAAAACAACGGCGCTACGCCTCTCTAAATAAAATTCATGCTCAGCCGCTCATGCGTTCCGAGATTCAGCGGTGAACGGGACACGCACCCTGCATCTTGCAGACGTCCCGGACACGGGAAAGGGTTAACCAGGGCGGCCGCTGGATTCGAACCGCGAGCCTCTGCGACGAGCGGCGAAACGCGCTACCGCTGGGCCGCGTCGCCGCACACCGTGCACATCACGCGTATGCCGCGTGAGGCGCTGACCGAGATTTGCTGCCGGGGATCGCTTACCGACACTGTGGTTCCGGTCCTGAGCATCAACGAGGAAAACCTTCATCGAGTTGGATTCCCCAACAGCGGCGCCGGAGCCGTCGCTCGCCAAGTGCACAACGACCGCCAGGACTTGCATTGGGTGGAGGAAGTAAGCCTGCGAGAAATGCGAGGACAAAACACGGCGGGATTAACGGCGCAGCTCGAAGACAGGCGGTCCACTCTTTCATGTATTTTTGAAGAATGAATTGCATGGCGTGAAGTTAAAGCGTGCGTTTAAGAAAATTGACCGGATAATCGGTGTCGCGCGAGTGTTTGAAAGTTCGTATGTCCACGTCTTTGGACGGACAAGTCGTCTAAGACCGCTCCTGTTAATTTCAATTAATCAGCTTCCTTTTGGAACATGACGACATGGAGTTTATGCGAATGAGGTCACAATATGAAAATACAGATTTCTTCATAATTTGGGTCACTTGGTTTATTGGCCCCAAGCGAGATCCACTATGTGCCGAGTGCTGCAGTGAGACTCACTATGGGCCACGTGCTGCAGTGAGACTCACTATGGGCCGAGTGCTGCAGTGAGACTCACTATGTGCCAAGTGCTGCAGTGAGACTCACTATGTGCCAAGTGCTGCAGTGAGACTCACTCTGGGCCACGTGCTGCAGTGAGACTCACTATGGGCCGAGTGCTGCAGTGAGACTCACTATGGGCCACGTGCTGCAGTGAGACTCACTATGGGCCACGTGCTGCAGTGAGACTCACTATGGGCCACGTGCTGCAGTGAGACTCACTATGTGCCAAGTGCTGCAGTGAGACCCACTATGTGCCGAGTGCTGCAGTGAGACTCACTATGGGCCGAGTGCTGCAGTGAGACTCACTATGGGTCACGTGCTGCAGTGAGACTCACTATGTGCCAAGTGCTGCAGTGAGACTCACTATGGGTCACGTGCTGCAGTGAGACTCACTATGGGCCGAGTGCTGGGTGCGGTGAGACTCACTTTGAGCCAGAAGGCCTCGGGTTCGCCCCGCGAGTCCGTGGCAGCGTGTGTGCCTGCGGGCTGCACAGCCCCGCCGGGGATGCTGGGCGCGTCTTGCGGGCCCTGCGACTCCGTGTGGCCCGGGCCAGCGAGAGACTGATTGCACGGGTACCAGGCCCAGCCCACCACCCCGTTGGGCAACTCCAGAGGGTCCCTCACACACAGCTGGGCGGCAACGAGCAATCAGACATCGGTGAGTCATCAAACAGGGTAACGTCTATTTTTTTTTGCTCTGATCGACAACGCTCGCGGGTTAAAGGTTAAAGGGATAGCTCCAACTGGAAAGAAAAGGAAGCTTGGACCGGACATGGTTGGTGACGGACGTGGGGAAGAATGGTGATGGATTCCTAAATAATAATTATTGTGAAGTGACGCCGTCAATGCAGTCATTGCGGACACCGTGGTGAATGCAGCATCACCCATCCACTGATAATCACGAACATTTAAAGCGGATGACACCTTTTTAATTGCCTGCGAAAAAAAATACCAGGCAACCGCAGAAACCGTTGAATCCGTGAGCGTATCAACCCACGAGGCTACGCAGCCTTACACAGTGGCCCAGCTATCGTGGAGTCACAAAAAAGAGGCCGTCGCGTGTCCGCGCGTCAAGCGCCAAGCCGTCACACCTCGGGGTTGGCGGGCGGGCCGACGACAGCGTGAGCGGGGCAGTGCGTCTTGCTCTCGTGCGACGCCGTCACGCTCGCGGCCCACCGCTCGCCCACCGGCACCTCCTGGTTCACCATCGCCAGGCACGAGCCCATGCCCCCCCTGGCCTGCCCGGAGCAGCGCGAGTCCTTCCAGCCGACGCTCGCTCCCTTTTCGCTCTCAACGACGGCGTCGTCGGTGTCGTCGAAATCATCCTGATCCCCGAGCGAGTTTACGTAGCATTCGCTGGGTTGTCCTGCAGGTGAGAAGCACGGAGAGGAGGGGGGGGGGGGAGGAGTGGGCACCATATTCCCGTTTTTCCACTGGCACAAGCGAGCCCCGTGCCGGCACAGCTCAGGTAAAAGGCGCGCAAGTTGATTTTTTTTTTATTTCCACTGCACAAGCCGAGCCGTGCTGCTGACGTTCGCGCACAGTGAAGGAACTCGTGACCGAGCCGAGACACGCGTACAACAGACGACGTCAGTCACCGCCGTGTCAGAGCGTGTCCGTTGATGAACCACGCAGTGACCGCACCGTTTAGCCTCCACCTCTGTCCCGGCTGGGCCCGAAGCCATGTTTAAGCACGTTCAGATGCATCGCGCCGGCCAGCCCGTCAGGGTTTGGCTCCAGTTCGGCACCGATAATTGCCAGTGAAAGACCACCCGTGCCATGAGGGGCGCCACGGCGGCTCGGCTCGGATGCGCCGGTGGAAGAGAGGTGTGAGAGTCGGAAGGGTATCTCGTCGCGGTAGAGAGGTGCACACACAACGCTGCGACGGCTCTTGAATTCATTACGCAAATTTTCGTTCTTAAAGGGGGGCCCGGAGCCCTTGTTAACAACTGTGAACTCCACATCTTCGAGTTTAATTAACCGCAGCTGTGTTTGTGGAGTCAATTTATTTTGGAAATTACGCCGTGTTTGTGTGTGCGCGGTGATGTTTCAGGAGTTCGGGAAAAAAAATCTAAACTTACTTGAAAACGATTTCACCGTTTACGTCAATTAACACCGGGGATTTTATTTAGTCAACATTGTTACGATGACAAGGTGAATTAACCATCGGATGTTTTCCAAATTTCTTCGAAGTATTTATTTGCAATGAAACAAAGTGACCGGACAATAGTCTACCTGTTTAACTTCACTGTACAATACATCACGTGTTGTATTCAAGCACAAAAATTGTGTAAAATAAGTAATTGCTCATTCATTATTAAACATTCATTTTAATGATAATCAAGAAAATCATAAAAAACTATGGATGTTGCATTACATTAGAACCTATATATGTATACTTCTCAGAGCTGGAATTTAGCCAAATTAAATAAAAAATAACTTAATGCGTTGGTGTTTTTTTGCCTGGAGAGTCACCATTGATCAGGCGAAGACCGTCAACTCAATTATTTATTCAGCACGTGAGCTGACAGAAGCCAACGGCAGGGTCCTCAGGACGCCAACAAAAAGCCTGGCCGGTGAGCGCAGACCCCAAACGTTGCACGTGACCATCTCATGACACTCGGGGAGAACACGCTTTGACCACGGGTGGTTGAAAACCATGTTGGAACCCAGGCCTTCGGAGGTGTCAGCTCAGCGTATCTGGCTGCCAGACCCCCCCCGCCACCACCTCATTCGTTGTCTGGGTTTACGATCTCGAAACCTGCACAGCCGCGAGCGAGCGGAGTTGAGCGGCTTGCGGCCAAAGACCACTCGCCAGCTTCCTCGCGCCTGTCATCGAGTCGCTTCGTCCAAGACCAAAAAAAAAAAATACTTGAGGAAGTTTCTTGCATCGCGATGTCACACCCAGACACCGCTGAAAGTTATAAACACAGACCCCCGCGCGCCGCAGGAGGCGGTGCCTCATCTTAAACACTCAGCTGCACGACGTTGTTTGTTAGGAGTTTATCACCGCGTGCATTTTTTAAATAGCATCTTCTGTCGGCGTGCCGCTGCTGCAACTCTTCACATCGCCGCCATCTAATCTGCGTCAAAGGTGGGATGCCCCTGTCCGCTTGACAGAGTCCACAAATTCAGAGCTTCCCTCGTCTGTGTGCGTGCGTCTGCGCGCCGTAACGTTTGGTTTTTTTTAAAAGTCAAATTCAAAGCGGAGCGAATGACTGTGCGGTGGGAGGAATGGTATCATCGATCCCTAGCGTAAAAGCGTCTCGCGGTCAAGATGCGCAGCTGATTAGGCTCTAACCTGCTACTGCACGTTACCTCCACGTCCGTTTATGTTGCCCAAACATAAACAACGCGCCGCTGAAGTTAATCAAAGGTGCATCGTTATCTGTCCTCCTAGCCTTCTCCGACACGTGTAAAAAAAATAAAGTAGGATACTTCTTTTTTTTATATATATAAAAACGCCGTTAGATTCACGTGGAAAAAAATGCAATGCTCGAATTCACGGAAGATCCAAAAAAAAATTTGGGAATGCGAGCAGCTCTCCCGTGCGTTTTATGGTTTTGTACCGTGTGTCGTGTTCGGACACGGTGTTCAACTTCGCCGGCGAGAGCTCCCTTAATTAGCTCCCGGCAGCGGGAGGAGCGAAAACGTCGAACGACGTCGCGCCGAACATCCGCGGTGGTACAATCCCCCCCACCCCACCCCCAAACAAAAAAAAAATCGATAAAACTCATCGGAGAACTGCGCAAGAAAAGAGAAAAAAAATGAAGCTACGCAGCGGGAATGCGACAGACTGTGTTTTTTCACAGAGAGGACGTGTCAGGAGGAGTTGTGACTCATGCATCGTCTGTCCTGCACGTTCAGGCTTGACCTATCCATGCTCCGTGGGCTGTTATCTGCGGCTTTAAGACTACTTCCAGGCGCTCCTCCAATGGCCCCCCGTTTAACAACAACCAGCAACCTTTGTCTTTTAAAAAAAAAAGCCATCATAAGGGGAACCAAAGTGTTTATTTAGAGAGCGAACGAGGAAAAACATCTATTTGAGTAGCGTACTGTTTCGAAAAAATTTCCTTTGTTTTTTTTCTCGCAGTCCTGCAGACATTGTCGACTATTATGCTCGGTGTGCGCGTACGAGGGGTGCCAACTCAAATACGGCGGCGCTACCAATTTTTTTGGTTTCCCTCCCCCCCCCACCCCCACTCCTCTCCTCTTCTGGAAAACCGACAACGTTGCTCCCCTCGGCATTCTCATGGCGCTTGCGACAAATTTTGTGGACGCCGATCGCCCGGCTCTCACAGAGCCCTGGGGCGCCTGTGTGGGGGGACACGTCGCGGTGCGCTCGATGGGGGGCCCCCGATCGCGGTCGCGTCGCGCACAAAATTAAATGGCCTGCACCCAAACGGCTGCACGTCAAAAAAAAAAAAACCGCCCACCGTAATTACAGGTAGCCGAACGGCCCTCGAAGTAACAACATAACGACCTTCAATGTAACTTTGTGTACTTAAAAGTAAGCTTTACCAATTTTCCAATTACTTTAATAGCATTACACCAAATACACCCCAGTCAAACGATACTTACGCGTGCACGTGAATGCCGAAATACCATAGCAATTACCGCTTGCCCACGTACGCACATTGTCCTGCGACACACTCAGAAGCCTTATTTAAAATTCGCCAACATTCCTACGCAGGATAGTTCCTTGTTATGCTAGAGCACTCGCATACTTTGTGGCTTTTAATAACTCGCTATTTGAAGGGGGGGAGGTTTCTATGAAAATTCACTGCCCCGTTTCGTTTCGTAAAGAGTTCAGGATGAGGTTTTTGCCAGGAAGGCTCTTGTTTCATGAAAATGTGCAAAGTGCTCGCCCAAATGCCTCGCATTAAGATAATGACGAATCAAAACTACCTGCAATTTTTTGTGCTCCAATTTCCGCTCAGGCGAAAGTGGGGGGGGGGGGGAGAGAGTAAAAGCTCAAAAGCCGCGTTCATGCTTTCCTAAGTAGTTTTATATTCTCGTTTTATTCTATTTTGCCCCGTGATTTGTTTGCAGGACGTTAACAGCCTCGGTTTGCTGCGGCGAGCGTCCTTGCTTTGTACGCACGTACGTTGAACTTCTTTCACACAGTACGTGGCCAAGCGTGCTTATCGGAGGTATGGGGGAAGGACAAGGAACTAAACACAAAAAAATCAGTTCTAAGAAATGAGGTTTCAAGAACTGATCTTTTTTTGTGTATCCCAACATCGCTTTCCTTCTCCATGTTTGTCCTCGTTGCTGTTTTGCTTCTGATTCCCAGCTGTAAATAAGAATGTCCGAGCAACAATTCAGTCTTGCCCTCATCAGCTTGACAGGGGAGAGGGGTCGATTAGAACAAACAAGGCCGAATCAATACAAACGAATACATCACCCAGCCGCTGCCACATTACCGTAATCGATACTACGTTGAGTTGTTAACATAGGGGGGGAGGGGGGGGGGGATGAGGGATGGATTTGCACGCAAACACGCCGTGTGCATGCACACACACAACCCACAACCCACGTGCATGTGAGTGTGCATGCGTGTGTACGCGCACACCCAGTACGCACAGAAAGATCTGTGCGGTTGGCGACGCAGCGCGCAAATGCTCAAGCAGTAATGCAACGGATTCTTTTCGTGAACCACAACAAGACAAAGATCCACCCGCAGCCTACACAGGCTGTCGAGGCAAGCTTTGTTGGCGAACACCTCTTTAATGCCAAGACGGCGCACATGGTGGTGATGTGCCCCCCCCCCCCGCCGCCGCTTTTGTTTATCCCCCGCCTGCGGTCAGCTGACGTTTGTGTTTTCTCTGAACCAAGTGTCTAATTTTAAGCCCGAGTCGACCTAGGGGAGACGCAAGACCAGTTCTTAGCCATGGCTGGGAGTCGAACTCGGGTGGCCGGGTTTGTAGCGCAGTGCCCCAGTCACTACGCCACTCCTGCACAGGTAGACACAGGCACGTAAATGCGTGGACACGTGTGCACTTCCATTCCTCGCTCGGTCTGCCCAGAGTCACATTTCGTCTCATCCGTACTGCGGTCAACCACCAACACTGCAGGCCACAACATTTCTCACTCTGCCCCTTCCCCTCGCACTGCTGGAGACTCTTGAATTCCCCCTCCCATTGTTTTTTTTTTTCCTCTTTGCCAAGATCCTATAATAATGTTGCTCAACTCGAGAAACGTGTTAACGCCTATCCAATGCAAACTTTGATAACGGCGCTGTTTGTTGCTGCCCGCTCGGCGTTTTGCGCCTGTGCTCAGCAAATGTTTACAAAAAATAAGTCGTGGCAGTCCACACATAGATCCCTCGTATAGCCTTGATAGACTCTTGGGGCAAGTGCTATCAGTGAGCAGCACCTATGAAGGCCGGAACAGCACACGAGGGGGTGATTGGCCAGCACCACGCCCGGCCGCCTTTGTCTCCCTAGTGGCGATGTTTTTACACACCGCACCAGTCGACCTAAACCGGTTCAGATAATCATCACTGGTGTTGGCCGTGAGCAAGACTCGAACTCGGGGGGGGGGGGAGGGGGGGGTAGCATAGCGCGGCTCTAACCACTGCGCCACCGCTTCCCTAACTCAGCGCACAACACGCGCGCGTGTACACACATGCACAACACGCGCATGTGTACACACATGCACAACACGTGCGTGTGTACACACATGCACAACACGCGCGCGTGTACACACATGCACAACACGCGCATGTGTACACACATGCACAACACGTGCGTGTGTACACACATGCACAACACGCGCGCGTGTACACACATGCACAACACGCGCATGTGTACACACATGCACAACACGTGCGTGTGTACACACATGCACAACACGCGCGCGTGTACACACATGCACAACACGCGCATGTGTACACACATGCACAACACGTGCGTGTGTACACACATGCACAACACGCGCGCGTGTACACACATGCACAACACGCGCATGTGTACACACATGCACAACACGTGCGTGTGTACACACATGCACAACACGCGCGCGTGTACACACATGCACAACACGCGCGCATGTACACACATGCACAACACGCGCGCGTGTACACACATGCACAACACGTGTGTGTACACACATGCACAACACGCGCGCGTGTACACACATGCACAACACGCGCGCGTGTACACACATGCACAACACGCGCGTGTGTATACACATGCACAACACGCGCGTGTATACACATGCACAACATGCGTGTGTATACTCATGCACAACACGCGCGTGTACACACATGCACAACACGCGCGTGTACACACATGCACAACACGCGTGTGTATACACATGCACAACACGCGCGTGTATACACATGCACAACACGCGTGTACACACATGCACAACACGCGCACGTCAGGGCAATTAAAACAAAGAGAAAACGGAAGACTCAAAACAAAACGAAGACAGAATGCACCTTTGATCAATGCTTTCATGGGATGACTCACGCTGCTGTTATGCATTGCTCACTGTCCGACAAACTCAACCGCACAAGTAAACACAAGAAAAATGAGCACTCTTCCAAGCCTGCTATTGATTAACACCATACCCCCACGAGAAGCTCACACACACAGCACAAAGACAACGATCCCCCCCTCGTATGGACTTTAACAGACTGTTGGGGCAAGTGCCGTTAGCGAGCCACCTATGAAGGCCGGCGCTGTAGCACACGAGGGGGTGGGTGGCCAGCACCGTGCCCGACCGCCTTTGTCTCCCCAGTGGCGATGTTTTTACACACCGCACCAGGTACCCGTTTGAGTCCGAGTCAACCTAGGGCAGGCCCAGCAGGACCGGTTTAGATAACCGTCACTGCTGTTGGCCCGTGAGCGGGGATCTAACTCGCGTCGCCAGGTATGTAGCGCGGCATGCTAACCGCTACACCACCGCTCCCCCATCGCACACAGCAAGCACAAAGACAAATATCCCCCGTGTGGCCTTAACAGGCTGTTGGGACAAGTACTGTCAGCGAGAGAACAGCAAGCACTCGCACGCACACGCGCGTGCAGGGCATCCCGTGTGTACATGTGCGTGCGTGCGTGCGTTTGCGAAAGTGAACACTTTCCCTCCCTGCCTCCTCCTCTCTCTCCCTCTCTCTCCTGAGAATAATATTATTATGTTGCAGCAATCCCTCCGTAGCCCCCCCCCCGCCGCTTTCCCGCCTGTAATCACATCACTCGAAATATCCCACGCACGCAAACAACTGCGACGCGAATGCACTCGCCGTAATTGAGCCGCTTTGGAGGTGCACGGACAAGGGAGAGGGTGGGATGGCTGCTGCTGATGAAGCTCCGTGCTCGGAGAGTTAAACGATGGAGCGGCGGTTGTAGATGAAACCCACCTCTGCAAACAAAGCTGGCCTCGACGTGACACGTGCTGCTGCATCCATCGCCGTCCGTCAGGTTTCCGTCATCGCACTCCTCGGTGCTCCTAAGAGAAGAACATTTTATTACATGCATCAGCGTCATCATCATTAATTTGTATCACTGTTGAGAAGAAGAAGGAAGAAGAAGGAGGAAGAAGAAGAAGAAACAAATTCTGGTCTTGCTCTGTGCTTTATAATGACAACATTGCAACATCCACGACTGCTGCTGCTGTTTGCGTTTGTCAGTGGTGCATAAGTAACAATGACAAAAAACCCAACACATTCGTGAATAATAATAATAAAAGACTGTGGCCTTAAAATAAAATGGTATATAATAGGTGACCTTTCAGGCAATGGCCACTCCATTGCCCTGCCGCCCAGAATCGGCATTTTTATTAATACTGGGGGAATCCAATGAGCTATAAAGCTCTTCTTTACAGATGTCCAGTCGGGGTGGGTCAGAGCGTATCAACAACAAACAGAACACAACAACACGACAAGAGTGAAAATAGTAGTATTGGGCAGTACAACATTCTAGATGACAGGGAGATGTAATGGTGACACTTTGTCACAACTCAGCAACCTTTCCTCGTGGAGTTTGCATATTATCTCCCTGTTCGGCGTGGGGAGTCCTCTGGGTCCCTCCAGGTTTCCACCGATCGCTAATCACTATTTTGGTGAAGCTGGCATTGGCCAAAAACATCCTAATGCTGAAAGGTTACCTGAAAACTCCTCAACTGGAATCACAGGTAGCGACGTCACGCCGTATTGGAAAACAACTTCGAAGGACATGCCTGTAAACGAGCGCAATAAGACAAGGAAATGCGTCAACCCGCTGCTGGATGAAGGCCTCCCCATGCCTATCAGTGATGAGTTGTTGTTTTTTTACCATAATTCACCAAACTGGTCAGTAAAGACTGGTTAATTTGGTGACAATTGGGGACTGGTGTCAGCGGGATTGGCTCAGTCATCACCCACCACCGATGTTACTCGTGCAAAGGAATACGAGCGAGGTCGCAGGGGTTCATAGTGCAGCGCACTGGCCAATAACACCGCCACTCCACCCCCACGTCAGTTTCCAAGGCAGTGTTAATTACTCGTTTTTAAGTACTCGTTTTTGGTGAATGTTTTTGCACGCTTCGTGCTCGATCACGTATCCTTGTCAAACCCTAATCCGTTACTTTGGCAGTGCTGTTTGTTGCCGGCCGCTTCACACGTTGGGACCTTTTGAGTCTTGCGCTCGGCAAAACCGTGTTTGCAAGGAAACAAAACCGCTGTCAATTGGGTCCTCTGACTTTCGTTTGAAGGTGGGGATAGCATGGACCTTGCACCATGTTGTTTTAGTGCTTCCATGTGGTGTATCTAGCCATTACGTGCGTGTATGCCAACACTCACCTGAATGTGCAATGTCAAAGCCCCCCCCATGTGACCCACAACAATTAATCTCTGTTTTTTTTGTGGGATCTATATCCAACATCACAATTTTGCGCTTACTGGATCACTTTGTTTGCTATCCCGGTTGTGTAAAAATGCTAAAAACCGCAAACGTTGTAAAACTGCGTTCGAGTGTCGCGTGAAGATTTCAATTTTTCAAATGAATTCATTCACTTAAACTAAGAACAGTTCATTCGCCCCTTGAAACGAGAGAAAGAAAAAAAAACACGCGTGCTTATGTTGGCGATCACGCAACAATTGAACGTACGAGAGCCAGCTCTCGCGAAATTATTTTAACTTGACTGGCAATAGGCAATGAAAGCTTAAGTCACCGATGTATTACTTATAAGCGGTTCCAACGCAGCTTTCCTTGGATCAAGGTTGCGTGGACAAGTTAAGTAAACGGCAAAGTACCGTGTCTCCCACTCGCTTTGCAAAGCAGCGGCACAAATGAACATCAGCTCCTCGGTTACATTTTTGTTGCACGTCACTGGCGAAATTTGTGCACGTTAAAAACAATTAGTCCCGTCGTTAGCCAGATTATAAGATGCTCCGAAAAAAGGTAAGATATGCACCCCAAACCTGTGTCCGATGTTAATGAAGTTAAATAAATGTTGTATCGCGCGCGCGCACACACACACGCACGCGCGCTTCCCAGATTATCAGACAAAACCCCCATCACTTATTGCTTTAAAATACGGGGAGAAAAATATTGTCTCATAATCTGGGGCATAAGATAACTCAGATATTCTCTTGACGCATTCCCAAATGGCTTTAATTGTGTGTATTAATCCGAATGCCACGAACAAAATAAATGTTAAAGATAGACTAGAAAGTCCAAATCTGTGTGGTCTTCTGCATCTTTAAGAAGTACTGTGATTGTTTTGGTACTTTTAGAGATTTTTGTTTAACGTCTGCGTGTAATTTTTCACAAACCTACGAACAGTGCTTTTACAGTGAGGGAAAAAAAGTAATTGATCCCCTGCTGATTTTGTACGTTTGCCCACTGATAAAGAAATGATCAGTCTATAATTTTAATAGTAGGTTTATTTGAACAGTGAGAGACAGAATGACAACAACAAAATCCAGAAAAACGCATGTCAAAAATGTTATAAATTGATTTGCATTTTAATGAGGGAAATAAGTATTTTGCACCTCTGCAAAACATCACTTAGTACTTGGTGGCAAAACCCTTGTTGGCAATCACAAAGGTCAGACGTTTCTTGTAGTTGGCCACCAGGTTTGCACACATCTCAGGAGGGATTTTGTCCCACTCCTCTTTGCAGATCTTCTCCAAGTCATTAATGTTTCGAGGCTGACGTTTGGCAACTCGAACCTTCAGCTCCCTCCACAGATTTTCTATGGGATTAAAGTCTGGAGACTGGCTAGGCCACTCCAGGACCTTAATGTGCTTCTTCTTGAGCCACTCCTTTGTTGCCTTGGCCGTGTGTTTTAGGTCATTGTCATGCTGGAATACCCATCCACGACCCATTTTCAATGCCCTGGCTGAGGGAAGGAGGTTCTCACCCAAGATTTGACGGTACATGGCCCCGTCCATCGTCCCTTTGATGCGGTGAAGTTGTCCTGTCCCCTTAGCAGAAAAACACCCCAAAGCATAATGTTTCCACCTCCATGTTTGACGGTGGGAATGGTGTTCTTGGGGTCATAGGCAGCATTCCTCCTCCTTCAAACACGGCGAGTTGAGTTGATGCCAAAGAGCTCCATTTTGGTCTCATCTGACCACAACACTTTGACCCAGTTGTCCTCTGAATCATTATGATGTTCATTGGCAAACTTCAGACGGGCATGTATATGTGCTTTCTTGAGCAGGGGGACCTTGCGGGCGCTGCAGGATTTCAGTCCTTCACGGCGTAGTGTGTCACCAATTGTTTTCTTGGTGACTATGGTCCCAGCTGCCTTGAGATCATTGCCAAGATCCTCCCGTGTAGTTCTGAGCTGATTCCTCACCGTTCTCATGATCATTGCAACTCCACGAGGTGAGTTTTTGCATGGAGCCCCAAGCCGAGGTAGATTGATAGTACTTTTGTGTTTCTTCCATTTGCGAATAATCGCACCAACTATTGTCAACTTCTCACCAAGCTGCTTGGCAATGGTCTTGTTGCCCATTCCAACCTTGTGTAGGTCTACAATCTTGTCCCTGACATCCTTGGAGAGCTCTTTGGTCTTAGCCATGGTGGAGAGTTTGGAATCTGATTGATTGATTGCTTCTGTGGATAGGTATCTTTTATAGAGGTAACAAGCTGAGATTAGGAGCACTTCCTTTAAGAGTGTGCTCCTAATCTCAGCTCGTTACCTGTATAAAAGACACCTGGGAGCCAGAAATCTTTCTGATTGAGAGGGGGTCAAATACTTATTTCCCTCATTAAAATGCAAATCAAGTTATAACATTTTTGACATGCGTTTTTCTGGATTTTTTTGTTGTTATTCTGTCTCTCACTGTTCAAATAAACCTACCATTAAAATTATAGACTGATCATTTCTTTGTCAGTGGGCAAACGTACAAAATCAGCAGGGGATCAAATACTTTTTTCCCTCACTGTACTTTGCCGCACCTATGTTGGCTTAATTTTAGCTCATTGTGCAACAGACGGTTCGTGTTATATTTTACAGGTTTCTATTTGCAAATAAAACAATCCCTATTTTTATTTTTTTTCATTTCACCGAAAAATTCCTAGAATATAAAATAATTGGGGCTTTGAGCGCCGGATTTCGTGAAAGTCGTAAGTTCCACGAAACGGCAAAGTCAAAAGATAACATGTGAACGCGACGATCGAAACCCCCTAGGTATGAGGCGCCAAAAAAGCATGGTACATCCAGGATATCGAAACCTAAGCTTGAATGAAAACGACGAAAATAAAACATTCACAAAAACATATCTCCCCCTCCCCCCATTCCCTTGAAGTAAAAAAAAATAATGACCCGTAATGCTCATAAAGCTGTTGTGCCGCCAAGAACTGTAACGGGGAATCGTGGGTAAAATTTACAGCTATTGGCGTGGTTTTTTTTTTATGAGTTAATTCCCTCCTCCAAAGCCGGTCTGTTTCGAGTTAGTGTTTGAGCCCGCCATGGATAGGTTCCCTCACAGTTGTGCCCTCTATCCATCTTTTATTTGGTTTTTCTCTACAAACCTCTTTGCCTACGTGCTTGAATCGATTACCTAGTCTGCGAGTTCTTGGCCATTCTGCCCCACATGCCTCCACTAATTCAGTCTGGCCAGAAATGCCTCTTTTGTGAAATAGCTTTTACCTCTAATAGCTTTTTAATGTCTTCACTCGTTAATGTTTTCTTACTACTGCTTCCTCCGCTTTGTTAAATGGCAGTGAACGGTGGGCGGCCAAAGGAGCGTTTGATAAAAGATAGCTGATACGTGGATGCTTTGGTATTTGGATATGTTTTTTTTACCTTTCTGATAACAGATTTTGTGTGTGCGTGTATATCTGTTCCAGCAAGGGTATCATGTGCCTGTAATTAGCAGGCTGGCTTGAAATAGGCTTACACTAAAATAAAATCGAGACACATGCATAAGCGTACAGGCACACGCACACATACACATATGCACAATGCTCGCACTAATTGGCCAGACTTTATCCCCCCCCCCCCCGCAACTCCGCATTTCCTAGCCCCCCACCAGCTCACAATCCCCATACCCACTCTCACCATCCTCTTAAAGCCCTTCCAACCCCTAAACCCAACCTCGAAGACTGCGCCCAATTAGTAAGTTCCTGACGGCTCAATTAGCAGGTCTCTGTCATGAATCACAGCTCCAGGAAAAGATTTCACTCTCAAGGGATTATGCTCCAGACCAAGACTCAGTTCTCACATGGGAATTTCCCACCCATCCCAATGGTTTCCCTTTTTTTTATTAACAAGGAAGAAAAAATACCCACATGCATGGCTTCCGTAACGCTTTCCGACATGTGTTTGTCCTTGGAAGTTTCCTTGAGCAGTACAAAGGCCGATAGGCAAACATGTATTTGTATATTTACTAATAGTCCAATTAGCACTGGTTTGTTTTCTGTACGTTTTAGGCAATCCTTTGATTAATTTGGCCGGTTTTCCTTTAGGTAAGTCCTTAATAGCAGCACAACTTCACACTAGAATTCAATTTATATTGGATCATCTTTACAAGAGTTATCATTACACCATGTTGCAGACAGAGAAGACGGACGTACGACAGACAGTGCGTTTATGCGTTCAACCTTAGATGTAAAAACACGCCGCAACTAAAAGATGAGAAATAAAATCTGCCGATCACTCTGGGACTGAGGCCACCTTCGCCAGATCATTACTAAAAAGCAATAATTGCGATTGCTCTCTTTTAAAGAATCCAACCACTATAAAGTTTTTTTGCATTTGAATGGACCCTGTGAGCAGGAAGTAATCTCACAGTACACATTAGTCCGCAAAAAAATATTTTTGTTAATACGAGATTTAAATGACATTAAATCCGTGCCCAACGATGAAACGTGCCGGTGGTGCCGGCAATGTCCCCAGGTGAGAGAACCCTGCCGGAACGATGGTTCTCTAAGCGCGGCGATTCTCAAACTTGGGCTCCTTGCGACCCCCACAGAGCTTTCGCTTTCTGCCCGATGGCTGCCACTTTTCTAGCTCTACCCACCCGCCCAGCGCGATCTCCGTAAAGTTTCTTTCACTCAGCGAGCTCAGAAGCGCCTCTATATTATATATATATCGCGCAACGGCAAAAACCCACAAGCGGCGGCGCGAATCCTTATCTATCCATGCGCACATTAAGCCGTTGCTCACTGCACGCACCCGATAGTTCGAATGTGATCATCTAATTATCCATTTAATAAAATAGCGTCTTTCACGCAAAATTGAATCTCACAATCGCCGAGAAGTCGCAGACAAGCTGGAAGGCTGCCGGGCAGTGAGCCGGCACCAACAGTTGCTCTGCGGTTCTCCATATATGAAGGTGTTTTCAGTCGATTCGTGTTAATTGGTCGTCATGGAAAGCTGTCTCATGGAGGAGGAGGAGGGGGGGGGGGGCTGTTCCGTTCAGCCAATGGCTACATCTATTGCCTGTCACATTCGCCAATAAGACTGCCCTGAAGAAGTAAAACATAAAACGTATAATAAGAGACATATGTTTGGATGGGGAGGCAATGTTCCTTCTTCAAAGCAGAGAGATCAAGAAGAATGTCAATTGCCTAAAACATCACCTAATACGTTTATTTAAAATAAAAAAAATGAATTTTTGGGTAGTGCTATTGGCGAAAGCGTTCAGTTTTTTTGATGTTCGCGCCAACGGCATCGCTGCTGAGCACCGCTGTGCCAGCGGAACACGATCCACTCTCACCTGGGAGAGAATCGGAACATGAGCCACTCTCACCTGTGAGAGAATCGGAACACGATCCACTCTCACCTGGGAGAGAATCGGAACACGATCCACTCTCACCTGGGAGAGAATCGGAACACGAGCCACTCTCACCTGTGAGAGAATCGGAACACGAACCACTCTCACCTGGGAGAGAATCGGAACACGATCCACTCTCACCTGTGAGAGAATCGGAACATGAGCCACTCTCACCTGTGAGAGAATCGGAACACGATCCACTCTCACCTGTGAGAGAATCGGAACACGATCCACTCTCACCTGTGAGAGAATCGAAAACGCGATCCTCACTCACTCGTGCGTCGCAGCGTCCCCGCAGTAGGGGCTCCCGTGCGTGTAGACAAGCGGCGGCGAGGGCTGCGAGTCGCCGTACGTCGTCGAGACGGCCACCTGGTACACGTACGTCGCTCCCGGCTCCACGGACCTGGGCGGAGGGGTCGGCGAGGGCACAGAGGGGGGCGGACAGCCAAGAGCGGGGGGGGGGGGGGGGGGGAGGAGGTTTCCAGGTCATCAGTCACGACGGAACTCTCGAGCGGGCTTTAAAAATCCGACCTGGGGAGAGAGCCGCGAGCGATGCCGAGATCGGGCGCCGCACGTGAGCGAACCGTTCGATCCGTTAATTTGGCGAAATGTTTTGCCCGCAGCAACTTGCAGAGGCTCAGTTTTCCAATGAAGCTGCGCGATTCACTCCGGCCAGGTGCCCACCGGGTGAGTGCGTTGCCCACGAGCAATTTGAACGGAGAAATCCAACGCTGAACGAAAAATACATCGACTCCTGTGCATTGCCGCTCTAAACGCTGGCTGTTTGCGTAATCGCTGGCTCGTGAATAGAAGGGGGCCTCTGTGCGTGCTTTGATGTGCACTCTTTAGTGTGTGTGTGTGTGTGCGTCTCTGTATGGAGAGCTAAGCCTCCTATAGCTACATTGCATACCATCGCAAAGGCATAGGCTTAACATGATTCCTCGACCATCTTTTATCACGTAGGCATGCAGGGTGCGTTCGGCTGCAGATGCGGCATTTTAAGCTATGGGACACAGTAGCCATCCCTTCTTCCCACAAGCCATCAATCACCCCTGTCCCTTTCATCCTCGTAGAATTGCTCTACGCCCCAAACAGTGGCGGCGGCAAGCACCCCGCGCCTTCCGTGACATCCCTGGCCTCACGGAGGCAAACTGCTCCCTCCATTGTATCGCCAATAGCAGATGGCAACGTTTCACCACCACCCCTGCCAGGCCCCCACCCTGTCGCGTAAAACGTCAGCCACCTCCGATCGCGGCGGGGGGCAAAAGGGCGCGCGGCGGCCAACGGGAGCGAAACGGACGAGGCCCGTAACTGCCCCGGCCAAAAAATAAAAAAAAAGCATTTCGGTAAAAACAAAAAAAGGATTCAGCATGTGCTTTTTTGCTACTCTCGGACGGCTAGAAACGCAGCCAAGGTGCTTTATTGGGGAGGCCTCCAAAGAGCTCGGAGGGCTCGTTCGAAACGAGCCCTCCGCGGAGTTCGCGATGAAAAATGAGATCGCACCCGAGGAGCACGCATCACGGGCGAAATGCTTTTTTTTGTTTGCGCGCCACGGACTTTGATGCCGACGATACCTGCGGTGAGCGTTCAAATGTTTCGTGGGCACGATCCCGCGATTCGGGAGGGAGGCAAAGAATGTTGGAGATGCACACATGCGCAGTGCAGATGACAGTTTGCAAACGCAAGCCGCGATGCACTCTTTGTACGCAAATATACGCAAGTGAGGCTTGACGAGTTGACAAAATCAATGCGAATGAACCGGTAGAGATGAGAAGAATCGGTTCTTGAAACGGAACGCCTAAAAAACTTTAGGAGATTGGAACAGCCTTTGTGTGGACTCCGCTATGAGAATGTTGTCTGTTGTGTAACAGTCAAACCAATATTATTGCTTGAATTCTCACAGCCCAAATTTAACCAACTTGAAAAGTGAGGTCAGATTTTTTTTTCCGATTCATTGATGACTGGGGCTGAGAATGCAGACTCACTTTCACTTGCAAATGCTTCAGGACATGGGGACACGGCCTTTCCGAACCGACCAGTACTTGCCCCAGCCAAAACCATGGCATTTCGTGGGTTTATAATGCGAGTGCTGTTAGCGACCATCTATTAAGGCCGGCAAGGCACACGATGGTGTTGGTGGGCAACACGCGCACAGCGAACACGCACAAAAGTACCACACCCCCCCGCCCCGCTCCCCGCTCCCCGCTCGCACCTGTCCACAAAGCTGCGCGACGGCCCGTCAACGACCACCTGCCCGCGCGGGTGGAACGGCGGCGAGCGGGACAGCTTGTAGGAGAGCGGCCGGCAGCGCGAGCAGCGACCGTCGCTGGGGGCCGAGCGCAGCAACGCTGCGTCCACCTCCAGCTTCTCGTCGATCGTGTGGATGCGCACCGATTCCACCGGCGCCAGCAGCCAGTCCAGGCGCACCGTCAGCGGGACGTCGCAGAACACCGTCTGGGGTCCCAGCGACTGGCGGGGCACAAGCGGACAGACGGTGCGGTGTGGGGTGGGGGGGGGCGGTCAGACGTTGATGGGTCTTGCACAAGGGTGTCAGGATAGAGTTGCGGAAGGGAGGCGGAATCTCAAGAGTTACGTGTAATCTTCCGCGCGGCGGATGTAGACTGCAGAGCAACAACTACAATTTCACATGCAGGTGGTCAAGCCAGACAACCGCGTCGGGAGCAGCGGAGAGTATCGCCACGACGTCTCCGCGTTGTATGGTCTGTTCCGGATGACCACAGTCGCACATTACTCCAGATTTTTTTTTAAGTTTCCATTTGTGCATCAGGTATCCGCATCTGCCATGCCGTTAAGTGCAATTTTAACTTGTGATATAGTTCACACGAGTACTTGCCGAGTAGTATATAAATGACACACCCCAGAGTGTTTGTATTAGTATTATTATTGCTGTGCTTGTTTGCCCACGAAAGCCCCACAGAGTCCCAAGACTCTGTGTTGAGGAGGGTCCTGACAGGTTTTTCGTGGTAGCGGCCGATGTCACCACGTGCAGCCCCACGAATGAGTAATTTGCCGGCGGCTTTCAGCATTGGGACGATTGACCAATGCCAATTACATTGTGCGTTTGTTTAGCTGTGGAATGATAGCGGGATAATCCAGAGGAAACCCACGCTGAACAGGGAGAGAGAATGTACAAACTCCACGCAGGAAGGTGCCCGCATTTGGAAGTGAACCCATGCCCTTTTTCGCTGTGAGACACAAGTTTCACCACTGTGTCTAAATTACGCAAGACATGGTCAGTTGGTGATGCGTATCTACACGACATTACCCCAGGAGATTTTCACTTGAATGCATATTGCACATATCTGCCTGAGGAGGAGGGCATCTCTAAGAAGGAATTAAAACACGACTAAAATACAACTCGGATTAAAATACAACTCGGATTTGCACAGCATCTGGATGTGGCCACATCTCAAGATGGTGTGTAGAAACGGCACACCATGTTTATTTTGTAAGAGAGAACGAGGCGGTCAGTTACAAATCGAGGTTTCCTGGCTTGGTTGAGAAGTCGAGATTGTGATCTGGGATGTGACCGAATGGACTCAGTTCTGTGTTGTGACAACGATCTTTGTCATTTGTGCCTCTTTGTTTTGGTGCCATTTCTGTATTTGTTCATTCATTTTTTCATTGTGCTTGGTAGTAGGGTTTTCATTTGCTTTGGTCGTGGCTGTGTGTGGTATTTCGTCCTTATATATAATTTTAATGTACAGCGTTATGGGATGCTATTAGCATCAATTACACGATATAAAATGAAAATATTATTATAGCCAAAGGAAGGTCTTTGAAGTTCACCCCGCACCCCCATCCACTTCGTTACGTACAAGAGCAGTTATACTCAACCGTAATTTTACTATCGCTATGCAATTACTGGCAGCTGACTCCAGTCCCCGGGCCCACGGTACACGCTGCACCTGTGCATTTAAAGGTTCTGTCATCAGCATATGATGAAGGGAGAAAAACGCGAGACTCAAAAGAAAAATACCGCAATTTCTTTCGTCCCAAATGTTGTGGTGGGGGCGGGGAGGGCAGGGGGTGGGGGGCAGGGGCGGGGCGGTGGGGGGCAAGGGGAGGTCTCTCTTAGCCACCTCTGAACGTGGTGAAGGGGTGTCTGTGCACCCAGGAACAACCACGGTGGCTGTGGCCTCTTGCCATGGGTGGCCACTACATTCACGCCAGCGCTACCAACAACGAAAACAAAATAAATCACTCGTCGAATCGCGGTCCTGAATCTGTGACTTCGTAAAAAAAATTGTAAAAATCGCTGGGAGGGGTGAATTGCCACAAGTCTAATGCTGCCCGGTAGAGGTTGTTGTGCAGTCAGGAACGCTTCCCGAATTTGCGTGTTGAGTAGTCAGGAAGCGTGGACAGTGAACTGCGATCTGGAAGGAACGCTGCCCGCCTGACAATCGTCACTCGGTCGGGTCGCGAGAGTTGCCGCCTTGGAGATACGGACATTTCTTTTTTTTAAAACGAGGACGTATCACGGGGAAGGAGAAAACCTCACGATGCAGGAAATGTGAAAAGTCGCACAAAAAAAACGCGTCGTCTCGAGTGGGCACAGTATTACAGCAACTGACCCAAAAAACATTTATGATTTTTTTACGTCCCCTGGAAGACTGACATATTTCCCTCGACATGTTCTTCAAAATAAGGTCACGAGATTCTGGGAAAACACGGACAGGTGGCAACACCATTGGTTGCTGGAAGAGCAGAAGTATCCACGAGCAGAAGGAAAGACACATCCTTGTTTAAAAGGAGCCTTCACACCCTTGTGTATTTATGTTAAATATCGGTAAAAATAGCACATGCTGCTGATGATCACAGATCAAACATCAGGGGTTTCCAGACAGACAGATGCTGTAAGACGTTGATATGATTTGCTGTTTCCTTTTAGAGATTAAAATAACACTATTATGCCGATAATGTTTTGTTATTACGTATATTTGCTGAAGCAGCAAAAAAATGCTTTTAGCTGTTCAAGACAGCTACTTTTGGCAGAGAGGCTTTCACACACAAACACAGCTTCAATCTATTCCAGCCCAAATATGGTTCCTATTGTCATCTTTACATTTGTGGGTTTAATTGTATTCTAAAATTGGCCTGTTATGTATTCGACCATGTATATTTTTAAAAAAAAGCAATTAGTCTCTATATTTTTTTATTTTCGATTAATTTGTTAACAAAACTCATTTCTTTAGAACTGATTTTTGTGCATTTTTGATGTCCTTACCCCGCATCTCTTTTCACAGTTGGCTACGTACGGCGTGAAAAGAAGTTCAGCATACATGCATACACAGCAGCAATACATTCGTCAATGTACTGCGTGCACACCCCCCCCCACCTTCACCAACCAGCACTGACCAGCATGGTGAAGTATAATCAAATGTCCCTCGTGACTGACACGGCATGGAGAGGCTGTCATTCAGAAACTGATTAACGTATTGCCTGTAGATCACACTGGTCTACAATTTTGTAGACGTCATCTGCTTCAGAGATTAAATGTGCCGTTTATCATGGATTTTGATGTGCCGAATTCAAATATGACAATTAAAACAACTGATTGGCTATGTATATTATGTAGATAGGAGAGTTTTACTCATAAATTGCAAAACAAGGTATTTTCATGTTTATGGTTGTTTCACATGATAACATGTCACCTGTATTGTTCATGTAATACTTAAAAAATCAGCAAAAGGGTTACATATATTAATAAAAATATTAAATAAAAGGCAAAAAACTATTATGCATATTTAATTTTGACTTAAAGCTTTTGTGACTGCAGGAATTCATATTCTTTGGGTTTTTCGGTAAAGTCACGTAGATAGGTTCAAAGATAAAAGCAAAAAACTACGACGTTTCGATCACAACACAAGTGATCGTCATCAGGAGGAGGATGATGACAAACGCTTGTGTTGTGATCAAAATGTCGTAGTTTTTTGTTAATTTCTTTGAACCTATCTACGTGACTTTACCGAAAGACCCCAAGAATATAAGTACATAGTTTAGTCCTTATGTTGACTAAACAAAATGTCGTGCTGGGCACTTTGCCACGCTCTGCTATGAGATTGTTTGTTGTGTGACAGTCACACCGATAGTCTTCCCCATTCTCAGAGTTGTACCGTAGCCAATTTAATTGAGCAACCAAATTGAATGCAAGGTCATATTTTTCAGTTCATTGGTGACCGGGCAGAGAACGTCAACTCACTTTCACTCTCTTTAATTAACAGGGTGGCTGCCTGACTTTAATTGTAAGGTCTCTAAGCCACCCGCTCACCTTAAGACCGATCGAAATTGAATAACTCCCATTACAAGCCTTCTATCGCCGCTCAGCCCGTGCGTAACTTGCACGCAACAAATGACATCTCTGCGATCACGAATGGAGAAATACAAAGATCCCATCCAGTTCTCCGATGCCTTTTCGGGGGTTGTGCCCGCGTGCTGTTCGGCAACATATTCGCACGGCTGGCTACGCACGGTGCGGAAGAAGTTCAACGTACGTACTTGCAACGAAACAACACGAGTGTGAGACGAGCGCCCAAACGACGCGTGTGGTACAACCCGAAAACCTGGGGGAGGTCCTCGTCGTGGTCGTCGCGAGTTGAAAAGTCTCATCCAGTGCGTTGAACGGAGGTGCAGGCGGGGACTGGGCCGTACCTTGTTCCTCCCGTCGGCCGTGAGGATGACCAGGTCCTTGATGGGGTGGGAGTTGTGCAGGAAGATGTAGGTGACCCAGATGGTGAGCAGCTCGGGGAGGGTGGGCAAGCTGAAGGAGAGCTCCAGAACGCAGCCGGACGGCTGGGGGCATGTCCCCGATGGCGTACGCTGGCTGTAGCGTGACTCAGGGCTCCAGGTGCGCAGGCTGACCTCACACGGCCTCTCCACATCCGGGGGACCTGTAGCCCAGCCACACACTGCAGGAAGTCAGCGCCAGCTTGGGACGGGGGTTACATACAACAACAACAACAACAAAAAAAACACTCCCGAGGGTGGGCCACGCTCGACTCATCCACGTTGAACAAACTCGGAACGACAAATGTCAGACCGAGCCACGGTGATGATGCGATATAACTATTGACTGTTAAACTATGTTTTATTTTATTTTACAAAGCTAAGGATTATGCATTATGCGCTGCACCAGTCAGTCGGTTCAGTGATATAGCGAGTTGCTCGCAATGAAAAATGTGTGAGTACAAATCCTGGTTGGGAGTTGAATCAGCCCATCATCCCTGCATTAAACGTTTTCTGGAACTCAGCCCTGGAGAGCTCCAGCTGAAAATAAGCCGTGGTCATATTTCAACATTTTGCGGGAGTTCGGACACCCATGACAACCTACAGTCCCATCTGGGAGAGAGAGAGAGTGAGATACTGGCTTCACGATGGCGAGATGTTAACTAAGTCGCCTGGTATGCAGGAGGTTGTGAGTTCGACCCCGACCCTGATGCCTGTATATTGAGTTTGCGTGTCTCTCTTCCCGTGGTCGCGTGGATTTTTCTCCGGGTCCTCCGATTTTCCCCTCCACGTTTAGAATCAACATCACGCGTTTAGAGTATTTGGCTACAAATACATTTCCACATAAGCCACTTCGTTGAGCACTCATTTGTGGCTAGGTCACTTCTTTTAAAAGAGCTGATAGCTCAGTGTACCTTACCTGGTAAAATAAAAATAGGATTAAACCGTTTTAGAAAGAGAGGGATAGAGTCTGTGGAAAAAAATATCGTGGGAGTCTGTTTTCCCCTCTCCTGCCGTTGGGGCCCTGCGTGACGATCACAGAAGTGATCACAGGTGCTGCCGAGAACATCCATGCATCTCCTTGTCATTCACGCATATTCTCTCATTACACAATAATAAAGACCCCCCCCCCCACCTTACATAGCGTTAACAGACTTTTCGGGGCAAGCTACTTTGGCAAGTGCCGTTAGCGAGTAGCACCGCATGAAGGCCGGAACGGCGCACGACGGAGTTGTGGGCACCACGCCCGACTACCTTTGTCTCCCCAGTGGCGATGTTCACACACCACACCAGGTACTCATTAGAGGCCGAGCCGACCTCAGGGAGTCCCAGGACTGGTTCAGGTTATCGTCGCTGGTGCTGGTGGCCGTGAGCGGGAGTCCAACTCGGGTCTGTCGGGTGCGTCGCACATCGGTGCTGACCACTGCGCCACCGCTCCCCACTCTCATTGCGCACGCACACGTGCACGGAGTGAGCACACGTGCACGGAGTGAGCACACGCACACGGAGTGAGCACACGTGCACGGAGTGAGCACACGTGCACGGAGTGAGCACACGTGCACGGAGTGAGCACACGTGCACGGAGTGAGCACGCGTGCACGGAGTGAGCACACGTGCACGGAGTGAGCACACGTGCACGGAGTGAGCACGCGCACACGGAGTGAGCACACGTGCACGGAGTGAGCACGCGTGCACGGAGTGAGCACACGCGCACGGAGTAAGCACACGCGCTCGGAGTGAGCACACGTGATCGGAGTGAGCACACGTGATCGGAGTGAGCACACGTGATCGGGCGCCAATTATCCCCGCTGGCTCGTGTGCAAAAGGTTCTGTGGTTATGCGGTTAGGGTTATGCATGGACGCGGGTGCTTAGTTAATTGTGCCTCGGATAACACGGGATTTTGTTTCGTAGTAGAGTCTTAATTTACGGATTATAGAGTCACGTGACATGGCAACTCACGTGGCCATCACCTTGACCATCGTCAGGCATTCACCACTCACCTGATACTCATTCACCAGTGTATAAAACATAGTGGAAGGCTCGTCGAGATTCAGCAATTCTCCCCTGACCACCACACACCAATGGCACACACCGACCACCTATCCAGAGTCTGATTTTGAAATGGAGCTTGCTTGCATCTATTGCCAGGATATTGAAAATGGTATAACATGTACAATATCCTGTGACCAATCGGACAAATTATAGGTGTGGAAAGTGATTTTTTTATCTTTCGTAATTTGGACCTCGTTAGAATATACTACAAATGATAAGCTTATAAATGACTCCTCATTTACGTTTTAAATTGGTCGAATGGCCTGGGAAATGACAAAAACAAACCTAAAATCTGTCCAGCCAAAAAACAACATTTTCAAACTTGTGCCCCCGAAAATTACGGCACAGAAAATTACTGGGTTTTAGTTATGGGGCATAGGTCACAGCCTAACATTATAAATAAGTAAAAAGCAAAAAAGTGTTGCAAAAAAAAACTACTTAAATAATTAATGATCAACACAATCAGTGAACCAAATAAAATATGGATCATACGAAATATGGTCCGTTGCATAGTCAACGAAAACCTACACTATAACTTAAACATTTTGCCGGCCTTGGCGTGTGACACTGAAGCCCGATAGAAATTAGGCGAACTTCTCCCATGGTTGTGAGCACAGTGCAGGAGTAACACTCGCACCAACAGAAAAGAATGTTAAAAAATGCAGCTCGTGACTTTATCCCCATCTTTCTGATGGAATCTTCAGTACACCCCAGTGACCACCCACCCACCCATTCGCCGACCCACCCACCCACCACATGACGTCTGTGCACATTTCTCTGGGAACAGCATGACTGCTTTACCAACTGTAGGGTCTTAAGTTGCTGAGGCATAACATAAAAGGCAAGGAACAGAGAAGATGGATTGATGTGGAAAATAAATCGGATGCTTTCCTATCCAATTACGTGGCAAATCTCTCGTTCATTTTTCCAGAGTTCTTCCCACCGCCCTCTGTGTTCCATCCCTTGCCGTGTGCCCCCTGAGCCCTGTACCAGCCCGTCATCTCCCCTGCCCGCACAGCTCTAAAGTGAGTCGCCCATAAATCGTTTATGATGGAATTTGCAGACCCCAGAGCAGCACGTTAAACATTTAGGTCGAAAAAATTACATCCGCACGTTTCATCTGCCATCATCATCATCAATCAGCGTCAATCGCCACCGTCGTTATCATTGTCATCAAAGCTGCCAACACAATCATCACCTCCACGTCACGGCCATCACCGTGGCAATCCCCCCTTTGTGAGGATCCCCATTGCTATATCGCAATTGTGATGATGTTGCAAATTCCACAAAGCACTACCGGCTTCTTTTAATACGGCGTGATTCAGAGATAAGGAAAACATTTTGGAACAGCAGCAAAAGTTACAAATCAATGTCTAGGTTCTGTAGCCAACCGACGGCGCTGGCTGTCAGCCGGTGGATTTTGCGTTGGTGCTGCCGGCGAAGTGGTCTTGGTGACAATGCGCTACAAAATAAACTGTCTGCAACGAAATTAGGAGCCGGACACCTCCAGCCTCTCAGCATCATCTCTCTCACCCTCAGTTCCACCTAATTTGGTGCTCAATAAACCACATTAAACTTTGCAGAGCCTCAAAACATCCATACAGATGTATCCTTTTGATATTCCTGAATTAAGCCACCGCCCTGATCTAAGAGTGAACGCAGTACGTAAATGGTGAAAGGAACTCGAGGTCGTGACATATCTTTGGCCAGGTTTGCATTCACCCCTTCCAGTCCTCTCTAAGAGAGATTTGCTGAGGCCAGGGCAGAAATAAGTGAAGTCAAGTTCCCCTCTATTTTTTACTTCTTCGTTAAAGTTCTGGCTGTGGAAAAGCCAAGCTGTGACCTCCTGCTCTCAATCGCCAGCCGTGTTTGATTTATTTCGGGGGGCGGGCAGCTGTTGAGTTAATTCATTTTAAAATTGACTGATGCGGCGCTGGAAAAGTATGCATGTAACGTGATTCTGCAGTGGCAACTATTCCCCTGGATGCAAAAACAAATGCTATATATTCGCTTGCATAAGCCTTGGGAAACGCAACGCACATGGAACATACCAGGTTGGGCCCGGCAGGTCTGACGCTGCGGGCAGAGTCTGACTGATTGCGCCTGAGGGATTGTCCACAGCCCCGGCGATAAACAGCAGGTGGAGACATTACAATCAGAAAGCGGCCACGGATTCCGCCGTGGGACATATTTGCCCACAAGATGGTGGGTGGGTGGGTGGATGGATGGGCCGAGAGCAGCGAGAGTGCGATTGCTGCGATGTGCTCCGTTCGTCAGGGTTCACGCTACTTTTATTTGACCCCACCCCAACTCTTTGCTTCTTGTTTGTTATTCCCGATGGAGGGATGTTGACCGCGTGTTACCGCCAACTGTCCCTCCATGTCTCTAAGAGCCCGCCCACGCCATCCCCCAAAATACATGAATTTTATTAAATGAAAGGAAAATACATTATGCGTATGACGAAGTTATTTTGTTCTTTGGTATTTTTTTAAAACAAGTTTTTGCGCAATGTTTGCATAATTACACGGGGTAATGTTGTCAACCCAAAAGATCCACGCAAAGGAATTCATTTTGTTTAAGTTTACTGGAACAGCTGTGTGCTGTTCCAGCTGTGTGCTGTTCCAGTAAAGATAACACAAAACATTTTTCACAATTATTTTCAACCCGATCAAGCGAAGTCATCATAACCCAACAATGATCTGGCACGCAAGAGTGCTGCAGAGAAAAATATATAATATAACAACATGAAAGAACAATATTACATAAATAACAGCGGACGGTTTTGGTTGTCGACATTTGTGGTTTTTGGAATATGTTAGAGACTCGGGGATCACCCAAAACAAATTAAGCCGAGTGTTAAGAAGACACATGCGATGTCTTGTGAAGATACTCGAAATGCATAATGTTGTTCCACGGCAAAAAAATAAATAAAATATATATGGTATATAAAAATATATAGTCACTTTCTCTGATTTTTTTCTTATTCATCTCGAGGGCCAGCGCCAAAAGACACATGTGCATCCTGATCACGAGCAGCTAGGTGAAGGGCCCACACTGCCACCCCCGAACACAAAGAGCCACAGGCACATTACAACCTATTTATAAAATCACTTGATAAATCCTTTCCCT